GCACATTGCTAAAGTACCTTATATTTACAACAGCCGGTAGATACGAGACATATATTTTCCATTGGCTTTGGTAAAATTCTTTTCATTTTACGCTTTGAATTGGGATGGAGGTTGCAAATATTCACTGGTAAAAGTTGAAAAAATAAGAGGCTGTCACTTTTACCAATGGACAAGACATAGAAACAGTTGACAGATCATAATTTGAAGCAGTGCTTGTCAATAATGCTCAGGCTGCCCTTCAAATTGAGGTTGTTAAGAATAAGCATTTCAGAGACCAGTGGTGTTTTGTGTGATACAGAAAGATCATTCACTCCACTGAAGGTCACGCTCAAAACTAGCAGTAACACAGAGGAAGCAGTTACTGGGATCCCTCTCATCTTTGCCCTAAGGAAAAGTGTCTTTGAGACGCATTTTGCACACCTTTCTGGAATCATGCATTACCATCCCGAGAATCTCAATTAGCCCAGAGATCCTGTGGGCAAATTCCATCTAGCTGGTAGCACAGGAGCTGGGTATAATGAATCTTCAACACAATTGTCCTTGTTCTGAACAATAGGTAATTGACCACCTGGTCTGCTTAATGGAGCCAATTTATGCTGGCTCCCATAAATCCTTCTGTGAGATACATTTCATTCACTACATGTTGTTTTCCTGTTCTGGGACCATCAGATTTTAGCTTCTTTAACTCATTTACATTAGCATTAGCATTATGGCAGTATCCTTTTCAAGCTGCTAAGAAGTATTCTGTGTTCTACTCCAGCCCTGTTTAGAAATTGTTGTGCACCTTAATGGTCTTTAAAGTAATTCTGGATTTAAAAAAATCCTTTTAAAGGGTTAATTTCTGGTCATTTTACAGGAAATCCCCACTTTCAAGTTTTTCCTTTAATTGAGTATTTTGAAAGAGTTTCACCTTTTATTTTAATGTTTGTATTTCCATTCATTCTTAGCACTGATTCAAGAAAGAACAGGAACAAAAAGTGTACTGGTAGTCTTTTATGTTTTTTTTTTTTTTTTAAGTTTATTTGTTTATTTTGACAGAGACAGAGACAGCACAAATGGGGGTGGGGCAGAGAGAGAGGGAGAGAGAGAGAATCCCAAGCAGAATCTGCACTGTCAGCACAGAGCCTGACGTGGGGGTCGAACTGACAAACTGCGAGATCGTGACTTGAGCCGAAAGCAAGAGTTGGATGCTTAACTGACTGAGCCACCCAGGTGCCCCATGATATTCTTTTAGAGGGAAAAAGCATAATACTGTTTTTCTATGCATGTTATCACATCATTTATTATCTGCCTTTCTACTATATTACCTTGTCTTATGCATATGGTTGATTTAGACAATATTAAGACCATTCACAGTAATTTTCATGAAAAGATGATAAACTACCTGGATTCAGAGAAAACTATACATATTTTCATTTTTCTCTCAACCTTAGGCATTTTGAACAGATCTTTAATTCAGTGAGCTGAGTATAGAATTTTTTTTGTTTTGTTTTAATGATGTCTTATTTTCAGTTGTTTCATTCATAGATATTAAAGAAATGGGCTCTGTAAAGCTATGTTTTTCCCAAGGAAAGATTGATGAGAAGTGAAATTTCAGTATTACATTATTTTTAATTAATGTTTAGAAGTATTTAGACTGTGTCTCTTTGAGAGAAATGTTTCAGATGATATGTTCTGGAATCACCCTACCTGAATTCAGGTTTTAGCTCCACTTTCTATGAGCTGTGTACCCTTCTCCAGAACAACAGTAACCATAGTATCTACTATTGGGGTTGTTCTGAAAAACGAAGGAGATAATTCATGTAAACCTCTCAGAACAGTGATCATCATGTAGTAAGCTTAGTTATGCTTATGTTAGCTGTCGCTTTTGGAGTGAATTAGGAATGGCTGGGAATATGAAAGTAATAATTAAGAAAAAGAAAAAGACACTACTTTGAGTGCCTGGATCGCTCAGTTAGTTAAGTGTCTGATGTGATTTCAGCTCAGGTCGTTGTCTCAAAATTGATGAGATCACACCCTGCATTGTGGAATCAATGCTGACATTTCCGATCCTGCTTGGGATTCTCTCTCTTTCTCTGCCCTTCTCTCTCTCTCTCTCTCTCTCTCTCTCTCTCTCTCTCTGGCTCTGGCTCTCTATGTCTCAAAATAAATAAACATTAAAAAAAAAAAAAAGACACTGCCTACACCCAATCTGAAATATCTTCTTTCTCACAATATCTGATATTATTTAAACATATCAAATTCCTTCTAACTTCTAGATGATGTTGAGTATGGCAGTGGGAGAGAGGTTGATGGGAGGGGAAGGACATAATTGCTTTATAGGGCACATGAAAGCAAGGTTGGTGGTGGGGCTTTGGTTAGTTGGAAAGTGGCATAAAAACTAAGACAGGATCCTCAGGAAGCATCCCAGGGGAATAGTTGGCTGAATATAAAATGCATATGCTAGAGCGTTGCTGAAGTATATCAAAATGCAAAAAGACAAGTGTGTTCTCATTTAGCATTTCCTAAAAATCCACTGAGTGCCAGAGAGGAAGGGAAAGAATACAAAGATGTGGTCTTTGTACTCGAAGAGCTTACAGCCTACTGGGAAACAGACCAGTATGTGATGAAATACAACGTCAAGGACTCTTATTTATTAAATGCCATGAGGGTATGGGGACACAGACAAGGGAGGAACTACCTCTCTGTAGGGGGATCAGGGAAGCTTCACGGAAGTTGTAAGAAAGTACCCTCAGAATAGGGAAAGCTCTCCAAACAGCTGGGGCTTTGCAGGGACCGGAGGCTTGAAGGAGCGTACTGGTTATGGCCGGTGAATCCTGGAGGATGTTTATTAGTCCAGTGGTTTGGATGAGATTGCCATAGCCCATCTCTGCCATTTTAGAAATGGAGATTGTCTCCTTGAATAATGGGAATCTTTCCAAGAGCGGTCGCTTCCCTAGAAAAATTCTAATTGCCACTATCGTGAATATTTGTTGTCTGTTTCTTGAGAGAAAAATATAACAAGGTCATAGTTAAGTTTTATTTTATGAGAATTGTATAATAGTAGACTCTGGAAGTCATCCTCCCTCAGAAATACTCCTTCCTTTCTCCATTCCCAGCAGACAAAAATAAATAAGTAAAAGCTTTTGGTTTCACTTTAAATTTAACCTTGTTATATGCTTTATTTATAAAAATTAGCGTAAGTGGAAAGAAATTCCACCCTTTCACCACTAATTTTACCATTTTCCCCCAATCGTCTTGGCATACTTTTTTACAAGTGTGTGTTTTATTAAGTGCCTAGAATGTTTCTGTAGATAATCAACTTCTTCCTAATGTGAGTTTATGTAACAAAAGTTACAGTCTTCATCATTACCTCATGGCATTTTGGAGTTTGAAGAAGTTCTGAAGTTCAGCTGGTACAATTTTTCACCTAATGCGGGAGTTCTTTTGATTACGTCCTTTGCAGGAAAAAGAAAAAAATACACACTGCCTCTGCTTGGATGAAAGTGGAATCAGAAGTTGAGTTTCTCAAGGCAGATCATTCCATTTCTTCTAATTCTTGGAAATTCACTAATTCTTAGAAAGGTCTTCCTTATAATATACTCTCTTAAGAAATGTATTCACTAGTGCCAGTTCTGCCCTCTGGAGATTAAATATAATTTTGCTGCTACCAGATGGCCATTTAAATATGTCAAGATTGATAGGTAGATAAATAGGTAAATAAATAAAAAAATAAATAAGTCAAGATTGGCATGCTTTCTTTTCCTGTCCTTTTGACATTTATATTTAATACTCAAGTTTCTTCAAAGTGTCGTTAGTTTTCTGGACCTCCTTACTCTCCTGTAGGCCAATAGAAATTTATAAATCTTTTTTTTTTTGCAACTTGTAAATCATTTAAATGTACATTTTGCATCAGCTTATCATGTAATTTAAATTTGGGAAAAGCAGGAGCGCCTGGGTGGCTCAGTCAGTTGAGTGTCCGACTTCGGCTCAGGTCATGACCTCACGGTTTGTGAGTTCGAGCCCCGCATTAGGCCCTGTGCTGACAGCTCAGAGCTTGGAGCCTGCTTCGGATTCTGTGTCTCCCTCTCTCTCTGCCGCCTCCTCTGCTCATGCTCTGTCTCTCCTTCTTTCAAAAATAAATAAACATTTAAAAAAAAATTTTTTTTAAATAAATTTGGGAAAAGCAGAGATGTGAACATTTATTTTTACTGAAACATTAACGTGTCCACGTGAGATGAATGGGATTGAGATCCTAGTACATCAGCATCAGGATCTACCTAGACTTCAGGAAGTGTGCACAGTCCAGAAGAACTTAGTTACACAGCATCAGGGCTTAATTGAGTTAGTCAAATTTTTTTCTAAACTCTAAAGTTACATTCATATCAGGTAAACATGTAAAAAAGCACGATCTAAACATTTTTAGCCACTACTATTAGTTCTGTTTCAGCCTTATTTTCAGTTAAGGGTCAAGAACTGTGGATTTAGGTTTGGACTTGGCCGTTTTCTTCTGCTTTCGCCCATAGGGACAAATCATGCTGACATTTCCTCACACTTTTTTTTTCCCCACAGCTAAACAAAATGCTAACAAAATTGAAATTCCCATTTCCCCACAATGCCTTGGCTAAAAATTTAGGTCATCTGGGACAGTGCATGAATTATCTTAGGGCACCGTTTACTGTGGTGTTTGCATTGTATCTCGCACTCACCTAACCTAGACAGCAGAGTCCTAGGCAAGAAATCCTTTCTCGTTGTGTATATTCTGGATGACTGATGTTGCACAGGATGTGAGGTTAGGGTTTAGGTGCCGGTAATCATCTGAGTAAGCATAATGGAAAATTGCTTTAAAGAGTCAGGTAACAAAAGGTGTAACCAACTTTTGATTTGCAATGCTTGAATTCTTTTGAATGTCATTTCTTCCTTTCCTGAAATACAGGATGAGGCACGACACTACCAAATCACAGACTCATTGTTGGGTATTTTCTATGTAACATACGCTTTGTTTTTGTTTTTCTCAAAAGGCGTTTGAACAGAAATCACCTTCAGCTGTTTCCTGAGTTGCTGTTTCTTGGGACTTCGAAGCTCTACAGGCTGTAAGTAGACAGAAATAGTTATTGTTGCTTTGGGTAGTACCTTGTATTTTAATAAATGTATTTTGGATCTGTTTCCTTGTGCTTTCCTGGAATCTATTCACTGATAGATTAATGGATTAAAAGCTTGCTTGTTTTTTCTTCTTATGGAAGTTTATGATTGGTTTCCCAGTGGTTCCTGTTGTTCTATTTGGTTAGCATTTAGTGGTTCGTGTATGTGTCACTGTAATTGTATTTTTCCTTTTTGGTTATGTGATGAGGAGGAGATTTACCTTACTTTTTTATGGAAACTTTTGATTAAGTTCTGAAGGGAAAATTTGCCACTATACTTCCTCTGAAGAGGAAGTTGGCAGTGTTTTGTTATAAAGTTAGGGTTCTTAATGTCAGCTTTCTCGACATTGTTTCTGTGCTGGAGTCGTGTTTATTAGTCTGGAAATATTATTATAAGGTATTTAAAGAGGGCTGTAAATTTCCTCTTAAATGTTCCTTTTAAGGCCAGAATTCCAAACTCTGCAATAGGAATGACCGTAAACGTTTCCTCACAAATATGTCATAGACTGTTAACGGAAGTGCTCCTTTGGAAAGAACATAATGTGAGTTTTAGGCAGAATCAGGTTTTCCTCCTTGGAATGCTTGTACACTGACCTAATAAGTAATAGTGAAAACACATTTTTGAAAGCTTTTAAAATTAGATTTTCAGCCATATGAGTGATTTTGTGCAGATGGGAGATAAGCAACAAATTGTTGGAAAAACAAATAACGATGATTATTGATGTTCATGGATGTCATGAAAGAAATTGGGGATATATAGAAGAAATTCCTCGGCACGCCTTCCACCTGGATGGTAGGGGACGTCCCGTAGGTTCCTGTTTGTGGGGGGGGAGTGAGCGGATTCCTTTTTTTCCGAACTTGGCTTTGTCGTAGCCTATGAGTTCAGTAGTGTTGTTATCAATTCTACAAGTAGGAAGTCTGGCAACACTGCCCTCGAGCCCTCCCTGCACTGTGGCCACGGTCTCTGTTCAGTCCTCCTGGTACCTTAGCTCACTACAGAGAGAGCTGGCTCAGTGGGCAGATGTGCAGCCAAACGAACACACTGCATCTCCCCTCTGGAGTCTCACTTCCCTGGTACTGGTCCTCTGAGGACAGCCAAAGTCGCCTGGCAGGATTTCTCCTTTTCCTTGGGTTCCCTGCCAGCTAATTAGCTCCATTTAAGTAAATTAAAAAAAAGGAAAAAAAGTTTTCAAAGAAACTTGAAAATAGACTTTTAAATAAGAATTCTTTACGGACTAGTTTGACCAAGGAGATAGAATATTGAACATTGTAAAGATGCTAAGTTGATACTGATGTAGAAATATTTGTGCTTAGTTTCTAAGAAGGGCCACAGAGAGGGTTTTAGTTGTGATTCTGCTTTCTGCGTTAAGCTTTGGTGATGGAGGAGACTGGAGAATGGACTTCTGGTATACGATGAGGGCTATGAAACCACCACTTTGCTAATAGTGCCCATGCAAAAGCAATTCACACCAGTCTAGGAAATTTTCCATTTTCTATGTAGCTGTGAAAATATAATTTAAATGAATGACTGTCATCTACGATTTAAAATATTAAGCGAAAGGGGAAAATTAACTTCAACACTACCTCAGAGAAACAAGAATGTTTGAATTTTAGTCTAGAAGTACTTGGTTTACTTTTCTTAGGAGGCTTCAGGTAGTTTAATCCAGCGCAGAGTCTTCTATTAGTAAATTCTATTCCGTGGAACAGTTTTCCCTCTTAGACAATATCACATAGTGGACCAATGGATTTTTCTCTTATATTTTGTTATGACTTTATGACTTTAGGAAGCTGCTGTGTGAAAAGAGACCTGAAATCCTGAAGAAGTAAAATTAAAGAAACAGAACCCATAAAACTCTGAGGCAGTATTTTTTAGTTAATTAAAAGCATGTAAAAATATGAGAAAATGGACAGCTAGAAAATACAGCTCAGAGTTGTGATGTACCTGTTCGGCTCAAATGATTTCTTCTGGGAAGTTTGGGAAGATAAAACTTTATTTCTTAGGATTAGTTGCAAGAGGGGCTTGAATGCTTTGATGTTCCTGAAATTAGAGATTGATGACATAATGCTTAATATTCGTTGGGATTTACCGACTGACATAAACACTAAATACACATAGAAACAGTGGTGTAATTTTTTTCTTCACCCTCACACCGGGAATCTTCCTTTGAATGAAGGTACTATTTGTCCCACCCGAATTCGATATAGTAGATTGTTACCAATGGTATTTCTCTTGAGAGGGTAAGTTATAAGCTACATGTGACCACTTTTTTTTTTTTTATGATGGTAATCATTAATTGGAGTAAACAACCAGCATTAAATATCTTTAATAAATAAAGAACCAAAAGCTTGTGAGTCTGACTGCCTGGCCAGTGTAATTTCCAAGAGGGAAGGATTCAAGCTCAGAGTTTCTTCATGTGATACAGGTGCCTAGTAGTTCACCCGAAACAAATGTTCCAACAGATGGAAAAATGTGCCCAGATCGACAGACAAAAATCTCCTTTAAAACATTCATTGAAAAATGAATCTTTCACAAGAAGGATCAGTGACAGAACAAAGGATACAGGGTTTCTGACTAATAGCAGAGAGTATATGTTGGGACAGGGAAGGTATTAGCCTGGTCTTTGCATATACATATTAAGCAATCCATAATTGCCCTACTATATAATGTGGTAGAGACCTACACATCTAGAATTCATGAAGGAAACACATTTATAATTTATTCTCTCTTTAAGTTGTTGCATCATTCTAATTAGTATCTCCATTTCTTTTTCTCACTTACTGTATTTGTTATTTAATACTTTTATTTAATGCTTTTTTATCCCAGTATATAACTAATGAAGAAGTTCAATAGTTTAATGTGTAGTTCACTCTACTCACGTCTGATTTTTATCATTAGGATTTAAGCTAGTCTGATGTACTGGACATTATGCAGATTTTCTTTGCACTTTTGTAATGAAAAATCACCATTTGACTCTTGGCGGAAAATGAGATGCCAGGTGAAGAAGCACACATGCTTTTTTTGGACTCTAAATGCAATATAAAAGAAAAAGAGGGTACGCTGTATATGAATTATGATTCGACACGGTTGGTTGCTGCTAGCGGCCAAATATGCTTTTCCTTTGCTGTCTGCTCCAATTTCTCTTTGGATGGGTTGAGAGAGCACTACATGTTCAGGTCAAGATGTTTGCTCAGAAATAGTAGTACAGTTGCAGCTGTGTTTGTTGGAGCAGGAGACTAGTTTAAATAGCATTACCATTTATCCAGTCCATTAACAGAACTCTGTAAAATAATACCAACTCTGCATAAACTACAGGACAGTGTAATAAAATTACAAGCACTTGTTGACAGATGGAAAGTGTAAGTAAAGGGAAAGTAAAGGGCCCTAGGTTGGAGGTTAAAAGAGACGGCATATAGTTTCCTTAACTTGCGTAGATACGCCATTCTAGCCTCTTGCTTCTCCCCCCAAACTGGTGTCGCCTCTTTACTATCAATTTAAGAGTGGAGAAGATTATTTTTGGAGCAATCTGGAGCTGATTAACTGAGATTCTTAGTCACTTTTGAAATGGGCGATCGTGATTGATTGAAATTTATGAGTGGCATTTATATATATGAGTAGCATATACAAAACTTCCTGATAAATGTAACCTTAAAGGTGGTTTACCAGTGAGTGATTCACACTTTTCAACTTGAGTTTTCAACTACTAATCCAGGCTCATTAGAAAGGAATTTCATTGGTAGTACTGCGGTCGAGCATTTGGTTATAAATATTTGTTTTGTGGTTTTCAGTTTATTTCTTTGAATATTATTATATTTACCCAGACTTCTAACATAAACTTAAGTATCCAAGGCACATGGCAGAAACTCATTTTTCACTTGTATCTACTGAAACAAAACAAAACTAACAAATGAAATTAAATACATAAGTCCCAGTGATTCATTTTCTCTACTTCTTTGAATAAAACCTTTTTATTTCTGGTTCACAAGTAGCATTTATTATTTCCCAATGAGCTTTGGAGCCTCTAAATTATCTAACATTATAAATAGTATTTTTAAACTCAAGGACTTTTTTATGGCCTAATGACTACTTACCTGAGACAAATAGATTTTGACCGCTTAATTTGGTTGGTCAGGTCACAGTTCATTTACTGTCAGATAGGATCTCAGAGGCTCAAAATGTTTTTGATAATAATAATCAGAGCTTTTGTTTAGAAGAAAACTTAATTTTTGTTTTATTAAGGTAAAAATTAATTTGCGAAGTACAACGCATATACAGTGAAGCTATCTTTATTTTCCTTTCTTCTTGCCCCACAGAAGGACCTTTACCGTTTGTTTTTGTTTTTGAGTAGTTGTAAGAGTAACATACCCTCATATTAGAAAGGTTTGGGCAATTCAGAAAAATAGAAAAGAGGAAATAGAAATTATTCATTACCTTGCCATCCAGACATAATCACTAGTAAACTTGTCAGTTATTATTAACCTAGTTTACTTTTTCTGTGATTATGCATATAAATGCTGATATACATTTATTACAAAAACATGTTTTGTTTTGTTTTGTTTTTTTATGTCCCCAGGGTCTAGTATGAGGCTTGACCTTTAGAAACCTCTCAGTAAGTGTTTGATGTATTGAGTTAAATCTCCGTCGGGTTCAGGGTCTGTAACGTGAATGAGCAAACAGTAATGCTGGGAAGGCATTATGAATAATAGAGAGCCAAATTAAATTTAAAGGGTAACTTGGCTAATTAAATGTTTAGTCCCCTTAGATCTTCTAAACATTGGAGGGTTTGGGTAGACACAGTAAAATAAAAATAACCCATTTTTCACATAAGCAAAATATCCGTTAATTTAATATAATACCGCATTTCTATAAAACTATATAATTTAATCTCACAGGATTCTTGTATTCAAGGATAAAAACAAGAGCACCACAGCGGAGCTTGTATCAAAATTCCTCT